GGGGGGGGGGGGGGGGGGGGGGGTTCCTCGGAAAAATACCGAGGTAGAAATGAACCAAAATCCACACCCTCTACACGTGACGTCCCGATTTCGAAAGCTACGCGTTTCGAGTGAGATTGCGCAAACACGAAAAAAGATTTGCAAAATAATTGAAGAATCCTGCTTTTATTATCTCATCACGTGACTGGTGCGTGCAAACCCGCAGACTTTCCTCCTCGGAAATTTCCCGGTTCTCATTTTTCAAAAACAACCCCTTTAGACAATAGAGACGGGTGCATTGTCCCAAGCTACACAAAAGAGGGGTGAGCAGGTAAAGGGTCAAAGCCTATTCGGAAATTTTTCCCATTTTCAGTTGAAATCGAGCATGGGCCCCCTGCGGCTTGACATCAGTTTAACTTTAGAACAGTCTACGACTAGTAGTAAAAATTCCCTGATTTACGCGACTGTAAAGACGAAGATTAACATCTTTCAGATGCCCGTCTCTACCCTTACATTAAAATTTGCAAAAATTACCCAGGCAGCGACTTTCGGAGGATTTCTCGAGGACGCGACAGTATTTGCGGTAAGTCTGCAATGATTTTCACCTTACTTTACAGTGAGATTATTGAAAGGACGCGAAATAGCTCATGATACTTAAAGATCGTAAATCAAAGGTTCAAGAAACCCATTATTCTCAAGCGCTAAATTCACAATTCAACTCAGCTTATGAATACTCTCGGCTTGCTATTGAAATAATCTATTAGATACAGAAATTCAAGCCGTGGAAAAAAATTGTAAAAATAGTGAGATGACCATACAGTTCTGAGCAGTCCTGATTTTCCTGTTCTCGAAAATTTTTTTTTGGTAAATATTTCTGAATACATTTACGTACTTCTACATGCAATTTATTTATTTATTTTTTTTTTAAAATTAACATTAGATCAAAACCAAAGACAAGCACATAAGTTAACTTTTGTTCTTAGGTGCTAGATAAACCCCAGAAATCTTAGCAGAGTAATAAGTAAGGATTCCCATGACAGACGACGGCAATCCTACATACTTAACTTTAAAGTCTCTTACATACACGAAAAAGCAATACTATACTTTCTTCAGACGGTATCAAACTAAAAATTTGTTCAAAAATAACGAATCTTTTTCGTTTTTGGCAGCAAGGACAGTGCCCACAAACTTATCATTTCCCATTTTGGACAACATTCAACTGATAGAACCCCTCGCACAAATCTAACACGAAGAAATTCTGGTTTCATCTCCCAACTTGAAATCTAAACCTGGCCGTTTCGACAGATAATTTCCAACAATTTAGATTTGACCGAATAGACTAGTGTCAAATTCCTGCTCCTTTCTCGGTTAATTATTAATTTGTTCATGGTTTCTGATTTCAGCCTAGCACACCCAGAACAATAGAAATCCCACCCCAGAAAACCTTTCAATGATGGCAGGAAAACTCCAAAATTTCAAAGGACCCAAGGATCAAAATTAACATAGAACCCAAAACAGGAGCTACATTTCAAGAAGTCAAGTTAGTTTTCTGACTGGCGGGGGATCCTTGGGGAAAGAAATCCAACGCGGTCCTCTTCATCAGAAAGCACTCAAACTTTTTCAAAGAATAACAGAAAATCGAACGTGGTTGAATGTGGATGATTTTCAAAGTCTCGCACCTTTAGAGACACGCATGAAACGGGGCATAGAACAGTCTCAAATTTACGAACTAGTTGCAATATGCAATACAGGAAAAAAAGCTTGACAACCATTTCATATTAATGAAAAGAGTAGTCGACTAATATTCAAAGGCAATTGCAAAAAGTTTAATAATAATGCGTTCCCGAGTTTAATGAATTTTTCAGCGCCAGCCACGAAATAATTTTCCGGTTTAATCGAAGCTACGAGAGTCTTGAATTGCATTCCCTAAACGTATCCGAATTAATTAGAGATTCCTGGGAAATACTATCCGGAAAAATGTGTTATGAGTTTCGAAATAGGACTTCTAGAGCTCTGGCCAACCCCTATTTGATTTCAAAATCCCTTTGGTTTTTTGGATACTCAAGTCCTGTGGGTAGAAAACCCCGCGGATGAATTTAGAGACCACCCTTCTGGACTCCTATCTACTACTTCAGAAGATACTAAACGAAAAATTTTGAAAAAGCGAGACCAACCTAATGAAAACAGAACTTGCTGAAGATTCCTAAGCACGGCATTTGAAAGTTTCTCAGAGTTTTAAAATCTCTACCCTACGTATTCAAATGTTGTTAACTTTCAAAATTCATCCCTTCAGAGGAGAAAAGAGTATTCTGAAATAAAACGGTGAAACAGAGGCTCAATTAACTTTGATAACGCACACCAAATTAGATGCAGCCCACTTCTTGATGAAAGCTTTCAAATAACAAAGTACATAAGACCTCAAGACAAGGGAAGGGTTGGAACGTCGAACACAAAGACATTACATCTACCCCGAGCTGACTCCCTTCAACTTGAAAGAAAAAACTCTGACCGTTGAACAAAGGCAAAGCCTCGGAACTACTAATACTCAATCAAAAACGTAATGAAAATACATTAAAAGCTTCAGGGTGATCAGAAAGATTCGCCGAGGTGATGAACCGAAACATAAGTAAAACTCGCAAAATGTAAGAAAACGAGGAGGGACGAAAAACTCGCGCCCGAAGACATCAAAAAAATTTTACAACGAAATGGGGATGAAATTTTCGAGTTCGAGTCGTAAATGAACGATTTGCTGATATGAAGGCGATCGAGCAAAGGAACTTGGAAGATTCGGCAAAGTACATAGGCGAGCAGAGAAGCAACAGGCTTGAATGAAAAACCTGCCCCTTGCAAAGGCGGTCGGTTCGTAACGGAAAATTCAAATCTAAAAGTACGTTAATGTTGCGAAACTATTAGATTTGGAGGAAGGAAGAGTCAGTAACAGAATCGAAATAATATAGAAATGAAGGTTATGGTTGAGTGAAAATCTGTGAAATAAGATAAGAGATCAAAATTATATAATAATGTGCAAAGGTACAGTACCTCTTCTGTGACATCTCTCGGAAGATGCTTGATCAGCAGCTGTCTGTTGAGATGAAACTGATGCTTCGCTCGAAGAATTTCCTTCCGGATTTTCTCCTCTGGTTCATCATCATCCCAAAAGGCTTCCGTGCTAGCCGTGGCGAGGATTTGGGAATCATCCCAAAACTTGTGATCATCACTTTTCAACAGGTTACCACCAAAACACGCCAACGAAATGTTGTCTGGTTCTGCAGACATAATGAAAAACTGAATGAACTAAAGGCGTCGTCAGAACTGCACTAACGAACAAACACATAAACGCACTAATAAGCAGAAGAATCAACACACACGGGCATCACACAAGCAAACGCGAAACCGAATAACTGTTGAACGCCATGGTATTTCAAAATCACAGCGAATCTCTTTGTTTGGGAGCGGGCGAACTACCGGCGCACGAGGGAGAATCAACACTGGCTCGGAGCGGAGCAAGAGGCAGGATTCAATCGCAGGAGCGGGTGACCGTTAGTTCAAGAGCCTCACTCATCACTCGACCGATGGTGGCGCTCTCCCGCAGCTAACGCTCGAACTTCCCTTCATTCATCAATGAAAATAATACTACTATTTTACTACGACTCTTGTGTGTCAAAATGATAATTAATTAGTGCCTCTATTTTTTATGAAGTGTCACAGCGATAAGAGATTAGGAGCGTATAACAATGAAGAACTTTAGACACTATTTTTTTTTCAGTGCTTGATGTTCCAAGTGCCTTCAAAGGCAGCCCTATATCATCCCTTCAATTTTATGTTTTTTTTTATAAAATTTGGTTTTGTGCTAAATTCAAAGATGAGAACAGACGAATCATCTGATAAATGAAACTTACTACTTTACGTAATCATATATTTTGTCAGAACTCTTCAAAAACTAAGTTGTACCTAAGTTTTTCATTGTCATCTAGATGAAGGAAATTGGAAAATTGTAAAGAAAAATTGAGCCTTTCAGTGCGTTCTGGAATGATCCATTGATTTTTTTTTGTTTGTTTCCTTAGAAGGTTGTATTTTGTATGTCCACCTTTGAAAATATGAAAATAAAGGTTTTTTAAACAGATTTTCTTTTGATTTTTGATTTGCTTTCATTATACCCTGTCTCCGCCTCTCTAACTGTACCAGTTGCGTCATTGGGGAGGGGGGCAAATGCCCCTCCCTCTTGCGTCTCAGAGAGCGCAGATAGAAAAAAGGAAAATGGATAAAAGTTACAAAACTTGATTATTTTTAAACCTTTCCTGATAGGTTAGTAATCATAGCGCGAGAGAAGCTTTCGTTGTCATGCAAACGTGAAAGAAACAAGCTGAATTATTTTGACGACAAAAAAAGTCATCCCCCCCCTCCTCCTCCAGGTTTCGATGAAAGACGCCAGTGAATAGAACTGTTCCATAGGTTTTTCTCTACTACTATAGGTATATTCAATTGGGTACATACTTATGAAAGGTCCAACCAACTTTAAAATTGACAGGACTTTATGAACTCCTTGCCATGAGTAGAGGTATTACGGACTAGTTTTTCCTTCATTAATTGGTTTTGATTTTACCGGATATAAAAGCTTTAGAACAGCTTCAAAATTTGTCAGTCTTGGTCAGTCCTTCGGTTGTGAAGGTCCTGTTTTTGCTTTCGTAGCCAAACCTCGGAAAGGAGGAGCTTTCAAGCTAAAGCGCGTGAAAGGGGAGAATGGGGTGCGCCCCCTGTGAAATCTGCAGTCCCGCCCATACGAATACGATACGAGGTATAGCTGAAGAGAGCTGCATGTGCTATGTCGTCTGCCCCCTGGCAACTTCGCAGCTCTATACATTGATGCCTCACAATTATTTCATGTATTCTGGGGGATGTCGCCTGGCTGCTTTGCAGCCGTACCCACGGGATTTGAACTTGCTGCAATCTAAACATGAGCTGAATCCTCTGAAGGCTCAACAACTGCACCCCAAATCGCGTGTGTTGACCTCCTTGCGTCGATGTCACTACATAAGGGATTTTTAAAAACTAGGGGGGTACGGTACGTCCCCTGGCCGCATCGCGGTCCAACCCTCCGATGCGCTTCGCGCCTCAGGCTTATTGTTAGTGTATTCCTCGTTGCTTTTATGATTTTACACTACTGAGTAAAATATGGGGGACGTCCTTAGCAGCTTTGCAGTCCATGTCCGTAAGAAGTATGGGGTGTGCCCCCCCCCCCCCCCGACCACTCGGGCCGCTTATATAGATTTTGTTGATAACATGAGGCACTTTTCATGGACCATGAATTAACGCCCCTTGGTAGGCTCACAGCCGTAACCCTCTAGACTAGACCTTCTTCAAGTGATGAGCATGGGGGTGCGCCCCCTGACACCCCCGAAATCCACCCAATAATTCGCTTGCTAATTTCGTTTATGTGATGGACCAAAAAACTAAACATGGGATTCGCCCCTTAGTAGCCAGCCTGCCTGCTACATCTCATAGGACTCGAGATTTCCTGGACGCTGAACATGGGGTACACCCCCTGACAGCTTCGCAGCCCCACCCCTTAGGACTCGAGCTTCCTTGAGTGCAAAGCGTGGGGTTCGCCCCCTGACACCTCCGGCACTGCACTTCTTAACCCGGTGTTAAAATGTAAAATCTTTGGACATGCGTTGCGCTCCCTAATAGCAGCAGGCGGTCTGGGGTGGGGCCATGGGGCTGCAAAGCCCCATTCCAAAGCACCAGAGCTCCTAGGACTAGGAGTGCCCATACGATGTGCGGACTGTCCATTCTACAGTTTTTGAGAGACTAATTGTGACTTTGAATACATACATATAGAAGAGGCTTTTACAGTGCTCTTTGGCGCTCTGCGACTCCCAGCCGCCACAGTCCCCTATCCTCCCAGAACCCTTCAGGGAGTTGGCACTCACGACTCACAACTTTTAATTCATGTAAAAAATTGAAAATTTACAATTTTTATTATACAAATTGTAACTTTAAAAACTGTTTTTGAAAAAACTTCATTTTTTTTTAAAACAGTTTTATGTTTTTCGATGTCTTAGTATCTGTGATGTAAGAAAATTTTACGTAATAGAGCGCACCTCCTATTTACCTCATAAAATGACCCTAGGGACTTTTTCAAACTCTCTTACATGACCCAACTCCTCATGTGTGGATTACTTCTGATAATTCTCCAATATTTGTACATTTTCCCTCTTAATCCTTCCTTGTTTCCAATTCTTGCACATGGAACTCCGTTAAGGGTTAATAAAAATACACCATTGGTGTTTGTAAAATTAGAGGAGGTAACTTACTTACGATGGTTAAAGATTTTTAGGGGTATCGGAGGACAAGCCGAGTGAGAGCACAGACTTCAGTGGCGAGGCGCGATTGATCAACTATCGATATTTCCCCATGAAGCTATAGTAAAGAATCGATTATTAAGGTGTTCGCTGCGAGCACCCTGTTTATCGATCCGTTTTCACAGGTTTAAATGGCAGATCAATCGATATATCGCAAAGCACGCTACGCCGCGCCACTGACAGACGTAGCCGAGGAAAGTAAGACCTAAAGGCGCTGCCCTCCTCTCCAGAGGATGTGGGCTCCTATCTACTATACTTCCGTCTTGAGGAGATCACCTGGTGAGATTTCCAGAGATGCTTTTACTTTTGATCTTTTCTCTTCCCGGAGCAAGATATTTTGGGCCTCAAGCCCCCTCTCTTAAAAAAATCCCTGATTTCGGCATCGTTTGTAAAATGGTAGGAAAATTTGCCCCGACAACCGTTTAGATTTCATTGAAAATGAGTTATTATTTTAATTTTACGGCTTCATATACATCCAGCATAAAAAGCATGCCGCATAAAACTGCTTAGCTTCATTCCCGATGTAATAATGTTGTACATAAAGGCAAATTATTAAATAAATTAGGTAATAATAAAATTCCTGGCACGTGCAATCGTGCGTGGTGAATTTTTATTGACTATCCAACCCCTTGCTGCCCTCATCTTTTTCTCTCCAATCATTTAGGCCGCGGTGGTGCCAATTCTATTTCTACTCTTCCTATCACTATTCGTACGCTGCTGTGTCTAACGAAAACGCTGTATTAAGACCTATTTTTGTTAGTCAATACTCAAACGTTGCCAAATTTTCTCCCATAAAATCCGAATTTTCAAGGAGACTTTTGAATTTTTCATTGAATTTTATTTTGAACTTAATCTCGTGTATCTGAAAATTACAAAAAACTACATTACTCAGTACTCTCAGCTTAGAGCAGGAGGCTCGCAGGTACATGTTTTTCCATATCGAGGTTTCACCAGGTTTCACGCGAGAAAGCTAAGTAACGATTCTTTGCAGCATTGCGCTTCTTAAATACTTCGTAATTTCTAAAATCTCGCTTCTCCGGAATTACCACTGCCACTGACTCTGTCACACTTACAGAGCTCCTCATAAAAGTCTTGCGAATATGAATAACTCGATTTTTTCAAAAATGTTATCTAGGTACGACCTTTACGCCCTAAGTTTGTGATATCTGCTCTACAGTGGAAAAATGGAGGGCCGAAGGGGACGTTACGTTCTTTTGTTTCCAAAGGGGGTCGATAATGCAAAATTTAGCGTGCTATATTTAGCGGATGCAAAATTTAGCCCTAATGACTCTTCTCATAAGTAAATATTTTAATTTAGGGAAATTTGGCAACATTTAACTAAACATACGATGTTACTTCTACAACGCAGCAGCACATCTTCGTCGACTACAGACGGAAAGTCCTTGGGCACTTGTAAAGAGCTGTAAAGTGTAGCTTGTCGAGACGAGACGTAATCTATTTCGGAATTGGTACTTCATGTGGGAAAATGTGTAGAATAATGAACATAAAATGCCACGACGGAAATTCAGTTTATTGTGGTCATCGTTGTAAAACTTAAAATTAGCAGCAACGGCCCGAAAAGTGGGCCAGTCGACCGAGTGTTTGAAGTTTAGAGGCGAGATATCGACGATTTAGTGGCATAAATTTTGGCGTAAACCGAGCGTACGAAAGGGTTCAGACGCTCGTCGTACGATCTTCGGAGGCACGCGAAAGATACTTTTAAAATTAAGCTCTTTCAAGCGGATCATAAGTGGCTTTTCCAACTAAATAATTAATCAAAAATATTTACAGTGCGCTCATTAATTTGAGGCGCGGTGCGGTATGCGGAATAATTCGCCTTCAATTTGAGATAATACCACATGCCTGAGCTTGAGTTGAAATGGGCCGCTAAACAGGGTAAAAATTATGATAAATCTATTTCATGAGCAAGCAAACATATGTATATACATC